TGTAGCATGAACCAGTTACATATATGCAGACAAGGGAACAATTCAGATATATGAACAAGCTGCAAAATATATATAGGAGTTCTGGATTCTGGAGTGGGGGTGGGGTGGGGTCAATTTTCATAGACAAACATCACTTAATTCCTCCTTCATATGTATGACTCTTTTGACAAAATAATGAGGTCCCAGGTTTCCTGAAGATGGAGGGGTGGTATGATAATTTTATCGATTACTTTATTATATACATTTTATAAACTTGGGAATTGTACCCAATAATTCATTTTTTTTTCAATTCATAAGTTTTATTCTCACTTTTACATAATTATATTAACACTCAGACATATTGATTTATAAACTACCTACATACTTTCAATCACACTTCCTTTCATATAGATTCAACAGAATCCATTGTTTTCATTGTGTCAAGTTATATTATTATTTCATTAAAAACTTACAGGTAAATAAATTCGATGCTATTTTTCAACATTGAATTGGTATCAGTACCATTCCCAATCCATTTTGGCAATTGGTAGGAAAAAAAACTGATTTGATATGTTTGTTGCATTGATTGTATGGTAGCTAGATGCAGGAGAAAAAAATAAGATTTGAACAAAGTTTTAGTTTTAATGTGAAATAATATAAACTCTGATTTATAAAAGAGGAAGGGGGTGAGTTAGAATGACTTTTTTGTGTGGTTATGGACTTTAGTCTTACCTGCAGTGTGACCCTATGCATATGACCTCTTTATACACTGTATATATTCACAAACATCATTAGACATATCTCTAATTATTTTAAATATCATTATAGCATTTATCTATCCTTAGTTGCATTAAGAGTAATCTAACAACTGCAGAATTAAACATAAGTGGTCATACAACAGGTTGCTCACAAGCTGTAGGTACGTTGCATCACTTATGCAGTCAGTGTTTGTATCACATCATGGGAAAGAGAAATGAATCTGAGTACCTTCTTAATCTTTAATTTTGTTTTAAAAAGATAAACTTATCAAAAGTTTACCCAAAAATGTACATGAAAAAAACATATTCAACATACCACTATCTGTTTTTGTCCAACTACTCCAAGTTGGAAGTTTTCCTTTTTCTCCCGCAATTCCTCTATTGTTGTCTGTTTCATTCTTTCCGACCTCTTTTGCTAGAGAGCTCTTGCAAGGGAGGTAATCCAATCATTTTTCAACAGTGTTTTACAACATTTCATTCAGATATTTTTCTTAAAGTCTTGAGTGTCTACCCAATTTATTTAATTTATTGAACAAAGTATTCTCCTTCTACAGATATACGTAGATTTTTCTAAAGTTGTCTGGATTTTGCAAACTACGTGGCTCTTCATGTAATATAATTCTATAGGTAAAAACAAATAAAAATCAATTATAAAACAGAAAAATGTATTTCAAAGCACTTAATGATCCACATTATAAAATTATACATGGAGTCTGGATGTAAAATACATGAATTATAACAGGATAAGACAGTCCAAGTATTTCTGTAATAAAATATAGCAAATGCCCTGGTTGCCATGGAAACAAGAGGTCATATGCCTGGGTAGGTATGTTTTTTTTGAAAGACTATTCATATGCATCATGTTCACAAAATTTAAGCTAGAAATGATTTTTTCCACTTTCCATGTTTATATAGCATGAAGCTCAATGCTTAGTGACATGCTCTCTTTAAAATTGATAAAACGTCGTCGATATATCTAAATGTTGGGTTGAAGGCCACAAGAAGTTTTCTTCTTTACATGTAGAAGTTTTTGCATAAATTCTGCTTCCTATAAATCCAAAAATAGGTCTTCTAGTAAAGGGGTGCAATTAGGACCAATGGGTCTGCTAATAAAAGGGTGCAATTAGGACCAATGGGAATTCCAGCAGATTGTTTTATCAATTAATAATATTCATTTTCATTCTTAAGTTGATTCGATAGAATCGACACATCTTGTTAAACACCACAGAGACTGACACATCCTTATTACCTTTTACTTACAAATAGGTGAAAGCAAGCCTTTTTTTTCTTTTAAAACAAATAGGATGTAAGAATCCTAGTGTTGATGTATATGTATATGACTGTAATCTCCATTGTCCAGAAAAAAAGTGTCAAGAACGAAGATGTTACATCTTTCTCTCTGGAACACTCCGCAAGTAATTCAGAATTATGTTGTTTTATTTAAAAGCAAGTTTTTACAAAACACTAGGTCAAAATTACTTATTAATTTACTATGATATTCTGAAAAAAAACTATGCATTATATTTATTATGCTGAATAAGAAAATATAGAAATACATTTAATTTAACAATTTTATTAATTTAGTTTCATAAATAATGTCTTACAAACTAATGAACTAAATTCAGTGGTTTACTAATTAATGTACGTAAGGCAATAGGTATTTTCAGCGATCGGTTAAGGAGCACTGCAAGAGGGTGAAGAAGGGTCAAGTGAAATATTCCTAAAAAAGCGATTTTTTTATTAAAAAAAATAAAAACGACAAAATCAATTATTGATATAAGAGCTTAGAAAACCCTAGAGGTACTGTGAGCACTGAACTCACAAAATGACACCCCTCTCATACATGTATGAGTATAATGGCAAAGTGCATTTATTGGCAGTATGTACAAAAGATTTTTTTCGAAAGTTCCTTTGAATTCAATGCATGGGTTAAGGAAGGCTTGCTTTAACAAAATGGGTTCCATATTTAAAGGGGGTTTCTGTGATTCTGTGAAAGTCTCAAATATCTTTCTGATTGGAATCAAGTTGAGGAAAATGGCACTTTATAATAAGGGATCTGTGATATTTCACTATATTACATTCAGTAGTGTAAGGGGAGTCGGAGATAAGTGATGGCTACCCTTAAGTGTACCAAGAATGGCATGTCCATGTTTTGCTGTGGGATACCCCAAATATTTGTCAGATCGAAACGTAAAATAGGAGGTCACAATGACACTAGTTAAAATAGGTTCTATAAAAATTTTATTAAATTGTATTCACTGGTGTGAGAAGAATTGCAGATAAGAGAAGGGTACCTCAATATTATAGACAGAATGGCCGTGTCCAGGTTATGCTATGAGAGAACCAATATATATATATATATATATATATATATATATATATATATATATATATATATATATATATATATATATATATATATATATACACGAAACGTAAAATAGGAGGCACAATTCCATTATGTAGTAAAAGCTTCCTTGAAATTTTGATTAAATTGTATTCAGTGGTGTACTAGGACTTGTGGATTAGGGAAGGCTACCCTCAAGTGTAATCTGTGAAGCTAACGAACATTGATCATTGTCATAAATTCGGTAAACAAAACGAATCGTGAACAGGACAAAAACCCCTGAAAACACCAGACAGACACCCACATCACTACATTTATCCCCCTCACTTTTCAAGCGGCGGGTATCAAAAATATTTTATCTTTAAAATATATGCCTATAAAATGTGAAGATGATATCTTTTCTTAGAAGATTACCGGTATATTATCAAGAGGGAATAAACCTAGTGCGATTAAAAGAGCTAGACTTACTTAATCCTCTGTATGCAGTTTGGCACATAAAGCATTATCAGGGTCTTCAATTGCTGCCTGGGACCAATATTAGATCTGTCCCCTTGTCAATTCTCTTTCTTTCTATTCTTTTTTTTTTTATAATTACTATATTCATGTTTTCTCTAGATCTTCCTCTCTTTATTCCCCTTTCTCATTCCGTCCCTAGGGATAGGGATAGTGTATCCCCAAAATATATGGCCTCTCTTTCTCCATATCTTCCTCTTAGTCTCTAGGAAGCGTGGCTGGATGTTTGTCCTCCTAAACAGTTCTTCGCTGCTGATGGTCTTCGGCCAGATGATTCGCAGTATCCTTCGAGAACATATGGCCTGGAAGACAACTTCAATGATTTTGCACCATACAGAGGGGCCCCTAAAACACTGCTCTTGAAGATACTTAACGTGAAGCTAATCTTGATGACTTCCAGATGTTTCTCATTGATGCAAAAGCCCCCTGGCTTTTGAAAAGGGGACAAAAAACATCTGTTCTGCTTCCCACAAACATGAATCTTGCAAAAGCTTCCTCTATATCTATGTTGTTCAGTGTTAAACTGACGGATTGTTGAAGTTTTACGTCCCTTGCAAGATTATTTCATTTATGTAAGTGCCTGGGACTGTGAAAGGCTTCACATTTAGACATTTACTCGGTACTCAAGGGAATTGAGCAGTTAAGGTTCTTTAGCGTGACAACAATCGCTGTAACACTGGGCCTAGTTTTTGAGTTCTCATTCGAAAGACCCACAACTTTCATTTAAAGTGCCGCCAGCCCTTTACGAAGGAACAGTTGCTTCCTTTCTTAACGACTTACACGTAAGTTTGTCTTGGCTACGGACTGCAGAGCAAGCGCTCTACCAACTGACTACAATGACGGTGTTTCTGCTGCTCTTCAATTGATCTTCACGAAAAGGAAACAAAACAAATGTACAATGATGTACATTGAAGTGTTATTTTTTTCGGTTGAATGGACCGTTTTGATACGTCATTTGTGACATACCTAATTCATTAGAAACAAAAAAGCCATATTCGTTGCAATGTTTTAACACATCTCATTCTCTACGACTAAAAATGTGAATTTTGATGAAATGGGATTTTATGAAGATAGGAGAAATTGAGAAACTCCCCGATTCTGTTAAACTCACGTATAGCAACGGATGTGTACATAATTATGAATTTATCATGCTTATTGAAGTTATCACAAAACATGTATCGATCGAACGCGTGTTTACCCATCGTGTATGTAAACTGCCAATATGATTGGCTATTGTATTTATCAAATTCTTTTACAAGACACAATCCGAAGTCGTGAGAACTTGATTTGAAAAACTGAGATTACACTTCATATCAGTTCTTGCATACTAAATTGTTTAATATAAACATCACTATCACTACTTATTATTATTAATATTATTATTATATATCATTATTAGAGAGAGAAAGAGAGAGAGCAAAATGCCAGTTGTAGTAGTTTTAAACATTAGAAATGAATCTAATCGAGTGCTTCCAGTACACTGAGCTCTGATACTGTAATGACAATTTCAGTTAAATTAAACCACAAAACACACGATTTTACATCATTTTCTCACTATAACTTGAAAATGTTTTAATAAAAAATCACTTTCTAGCAAAGAAGTTTTTGATCTTGCCAACCATCGCTGAAAAATGGTTCAAGAGTATCACAATGTCCAGTGCAAGCAGGGCAATAAAAATGGCTATGATAATGACGGCACCAAACGCCCCGATAGATCGAGCAGACGGTCGGTCGTCCATCACACTGATCCTCTTCCTGATGTTAGAGGATAATTTTTCCTTGTTGACTTCCAACTCTTTCTTCATCTTTTGTATAATCTGTTCCAATTCTGTACTTGTATAGTTTTTCACTGGATGGACCATGTTACATGGACACCTGCAATCGGCTGTAGAAATAAGCAAATATACGTATTTACATATGTTATTCTCTGAAAGTCTTCCAATATTGCAGCATTTCTAAACTATTTCTTTTTTTAAAAAGTTATCTAGTACTATATTCTAATTAACTTAGAACTTTAAGAGCAAATTCCAAAGGGAAATGTATAAAAATTAAAAATTTTAAGGTAATGTCGATGTGACACTTTCAGAGAAAATTACATTTCCCCGTTCTTATATTTATTCTTCTGTATACCAGGGTAATAATGATTTTAAAGACTTAGAGAAAATGCAGCATGATTCCTTTTTCTTCTAAAACCATGTAATTCTTTTTTTTTTAAAGGTGCATATGTGCTCATATTTCAGAGAGCACTTCGGTTTCAAAACTATACTTTGTTCTGTATCTTCAGCACTGATTTAGCTTTCCAACCTTTTTTGCAGTCATTACGACGGGTTTTCCCTGGTTGTCTAGTTGTATAGTTTGCTGGACATTCAAAGCACTGAATGTGGTTTCCGCTGACGTTTTTGTAAGTGCCTATTTTGCATTTATCACATGATTTAGTTGTCTTGTTGTATTCTTCACCCTCTTTACAGGTTTCTAAAGAAAAAAAATACTTTTTACTTTGATAAACAGGACACACTCCTTTGCTATCAAAACTAGAAAAAATTACATCAACAGAAAAACGTTTTTTGGATCTTATCCTATTAATATTGCATTTTTTAAAATGTAAAATCAATTTGGCTATATCATAAAGAAGATGGGCGAACAAGGCGAGCGAAATGCCCATGGTATGGTGTGATAAATATGAAAGTGAAATTAAATTTCAATTACAGTAAAATTTCTTTGATTTTTCTCTAACATCAAAGTATACTTCTTCGTGATCGGGAGGCCCGGTTTCGATTCTCGTTCGCCGCGCCGCGTCAAACCTTAAACGCAAACAGTAGTGACTGTTCCTTCGCCAAATGCCCAAAACTAGAAGTGAAAGTCACGGGTCTTTCGGATGAGACCTTAAAAACCGACCAGTGTCACTGTAGGCGTTGGCACGATAAAGGACCCTCACTGCTCAATGGCCCTGAGTGCCGAGTATAGGTCTAAATTTGAAGCCCTTCACCGACATACGGTGACGTCTCTATATGAGCGAAAAATTCTCCAATGGAACATTAAACAACATACAATCAATCAATCAAAGTTAACTTTATGTAAAATCTCCACAATTTGCAAAAATCTCACAAAAATTGAAATTCTTTGGCTATGAAATAACATGCATACACTAAAGAGGGCATAAAGGATCGTATTCTCAAAAAAATTTGCATATGAGTGGGTCTTCGCTCCATTTTTTGAAAAATTTATCCCCAAGGTATGCGTTAAAATATTCATATTTTGGTTAATAAAAACATGGAGCAAAGATCCACTATATCAAAGACCCACTATATTTCAAATACACTTTTATGACACAGCATTCGTACATTTTCGAGAAATACTTGAAGTCCATTTGGTCAGGGTTCTTATCACAAACATGATTTAATGCCTCCATTTGTCTTTAGCCGTGTAGCGAAGTGGTTAGCATGTTAATTTCAAAGAAAGTTCTGATGCTTGGAATTTTTATACCCGCACTTTCTAAAGAAAGTTCGGGTATATTGTTGTTACTCATGTCTGTCCATCCGTCCGTCCGTCTGTCCGTCCGTCCGTCTGTCACACTCTTATTTCTCAAACTCCTCTTACATTTTACACAGTAGCCTAATCATCTTTTGGGAGATGTTTGGTGATGTCATGTAGATGTGCAGTAAAGTTTCGGAATTTTCATTTTCACCCTGGGGGTCAAATGGGGGTCGAAAAATGATGTTTTTTATGCAAAAAGCCCCTGGTTCCCTGAACTCCTCTTACATTTTTTACAGTAGCCTAATCATCTTTTGGGAGATGATTAGTGGTGTCCTGTAGATGTGCAGTAAGGTTTCGGAATTTTCATTTTCACCCTGGGGGTCAAATGGGGGTCGAAAAATGACGTTTTTTATGCAAAAAGCCCCTGGTTCCCTGAACTCCTCTTACATTTTAAACAGTAGCCTAATCATCTTTTGGGAGATGGTTGGTGGTGTCATGTAGATGTGCAGTAAGGTTTCGGAATTTTCATTTTCACCCTGGGGGTCAAATGGGGGTCGAAAAATGACGTTTTTTATGCAAAAAGCCCCTGGTTCCCTGAACTCCTCTTACATTTTACACAGTAGCCTAATCGTCTTTTGGGAGATGGTTGGTGGTGTCCTATAGATGTGCAGTAAGGTTTCGGAATGCTTATTTTCCCCCTGGGGGTCAAGTGGGGGTCAAATTTTTTTAAAAAAATATTTAACATGTTTAGACATCCTGGTTCCCAGAACTTCCCTTATATTTCATGCACTAGCCTTAAATCATGATCATTTGGAAGATGATTTATTGTGTCCTGTGGATGTGTAAAATGGTTTTAAAATTTGCATTTCCATGTGGATAGCAAATAGGAGCAGGAAAAAAATGGCCCCTCCCTAACCCATGGGGTCATGATTTGTACAAACTTGAATCTACACTTCTTGGGAATGTTTCCATATTAATCATGCTTTTGTTGTTCTTAAAAAGAAGAATTTTGAAGATTTTTTTTCCTTTTAAATCTCTATAAAACTTTGATCCCTTATTGTGGCCTGACCCTATCCTCGGAGGTCATGATTTGAAAACTAGAAACATGTCCATAGGACATAAATGCCCCGCCGAATGTATATTACTAATGCAACATGAAAATTTGTATGAGTGTATGAAGTTTGATGAGAATATCTTGAACAGTTTCTTTAAAATTGAAACTAAAATCTAAAAAAATGGATATAGATGATAAATTCTCACAAAATTATGTGTAAGTGCATGCTTAATATCTTATTAATCTTCTAAATATCTTAAATTGTTTCTTTAAAACTAAGCAAAATACAAATTAAAGAGAAGGGAGGTCAAGGTCACAGGAAAGTGCAAGGTGAAAAGTTTTTGATGCAGTTGAATAGCTCTCACTAATACATATCAGCACATTAAGTTTGATAAAAATATCTTGAATGATTTATTTAAAACTGAGCTTAACACTTATTTGAGAAAAGAGAGGTCAAGGTCAAAGGAAAGGTTGAGGTCAAATGCTGATGCAGTTGAAAAGCTTATATCAGTATGTATTTACTATTAGCATAGAAGTTCAGTAAAAATATCAGAAATGGTTTATTTAAAACGTAGATAAACACTAAATTAAAAAAGTGAGGTCAAAGTCAAAGGAAAAGTCAAGGTCAAAAAAGTTGATGCAATTGATAACTCTCAGCAGTATATATCAGCATATGAAGTTTGATAAATATATCTTGAATTGTTTATTCAAAACTGATCTAGACACTAATTTAAAAAAAAGTAAGGTCAAGGTCAAAGGAAAAGTCAAGGTCAAAAATTTTGATGCAGTTGAAAAGCTTACATCAGTATGTATCAGCATATGACGTTTTATTGAAGTCGGACATGACAAACACTATATGCCTTGGCCATATTCATGGCAGGGCATAAAAAACTTGAATCTACACTATATGAGGATGTTTCCATATCAAAATGACTAACAAGCAAATTCAAAGAATTGTGGTCCCCTGCTTTCCGTGTCCTAGTGGATGGGATGCCATTGTTTATGACATATTGTTTCAAATATGCAGGCCTTATCATATGTCATTCAAAAGTAATCACCAAAGTTAAAATTTTTGAAAATTAGGTAAAAACATCAAGGTCAAGGGGTAAAAAAATCATAGCATGCTTGGAAACATCTTGTTACAGGTAATGTACATGTCAAATATAAAAGTCCTATCTCTTCTCAATCAAAAGTTATAAGGAAATATAACATTTTTGAAAAGTAGGTTAAACTTCAAGGTCAATGTCACAGAGTCAAAAGTCATGATATGTTTAGAAAGGTCTTGTCACAGGTAATATACATGTATAATATGAACGTCCTACCTTTCTCTTTCAAAATGATCATTTAAAATAATGTTAAATTTTTTGAAAAGTAGGTCAAACTTCAAGGTCAAGCTCATGGGTTCAAAAATCATGGTATGTTTAGAAAGTTCTTGTAGGTAATGTACATGTGAAATATGAAAGCCCTATCTCTTATTATTCAGAAGTTATGATCAAGGTTAAATTTATTGTGACAGACGGACAAACGGACAGACTGACAGACAAATGAGATTTAATGTCCCCTAGGTCCCTTTTGTGAAAACGGACGACAATAATGCCCTTGCTGTTCATGAGAAGAAGATTTATGATGGAAAAAATCCCCTGCATTTTTCTATGTAAATCATTGGATCCCCATATGTGGCCCCACCCTACCCCAGTGGGTCATAATTTTAACAAATTTGAAGCTACACTGTCTATGTAAAGAAAGTTTCAACTTTTTGGGCCCAGTCAGTGGTTCTTGATAAGACTTTTTTAAAATGATACCACCAAATTTTCACTAATTCTTGATTATCCCCCCTTGAAAGAGGGTGTGACCCTTCACTTGAACAAACTTGAATCCCCTTTACCCGAAGATGCTTTGTGGCAGGGTTGGTTGAAATTGGCCCAGCGGTTCTAGTGAAGAAGACAAAAATTTGAAAAGTTTACAGGTGGACAGATGGATGACAAACAAAATGTGATCAGAAAAACTCAAGTGAGCTAAAAACTGATGATCACAAGTACTTGGAAAGAGTTAAAGTATTTGAAAACAGTTTTTTTCATGCATTGTTTTCAGAAGCTGAAAAGGTATGACTGGTATCCATGTTGAAAAAACTTCACATTTCAGAAAACAGTATGATTAAAAATATTTAACCAAGGTGCTTTGAGTAGCAAAATAAGCTAAACTGGTATAGTTAATTCAACCACAGAGCTTAGTGAATTTTAAAATGCACAACCTTTTCAACTCTTAATCATTCTTAAAATATTTATATCATCATTTCTGATTCAAGGGAGAACTAGAGATATGATCAGAAGTATATCCATTGACTAATAAACATGTACATGTGTTTTTTAAGTCATTAATGTTTGTTTGTTGTTAAATGTCCCTCTTGGGAATTTTTCACTCATACGGAGACACCACCACTTAAAAGTAATGAAGACGTACAAGTTGGATTTGAGGTTAACATTCATTTTAGGAATTTTCAACAATTAAGACGTAAAGAGATGATTCCTTCCCCTTGCCCCTTCCCCTTCCCAGACCCCTGTTTGTTCATGTATGCAAACTAGTCTAATACTTTGGTTTGACATAAAAAAAATGTGAATATATACAAATAGTTTAATGGTCCATCTCTTTGAATGATTTTCATTCCTAATTCTAGGAGGGTACATGGGTTGACCCAAATTCATGAATGAAATGTCAAGTAATCTTATCACTGATGCACTTTTATTTAATTTGATGTAGTCATATTATGAACATTTCCAGTTCATTAAGAGAGTGGGGATGACCTCCAGGGGTTCATAACCTTAAACCATAAGATGTACATAACATAATAACACAAGAAACAAAATTATGTATAGTCAAATGGAAAAGTTTTCAACTATTTAGGAGTCACATGATCATTTGTCATTTCAGGGACAGGGAGCGGCTAGGGAGATTGGACCCCCCCCCCCCCTGGAATTTGCAGAGTTATTTAAATAGGACTATATACTGATTTACAGAAGCAAATAAAAAATGACTTTGGATGCCCTCCCCCTTTAAAAACATGGACCCCACCATCATTGTTTTTATTTTGTTTGTTTGTTTTTTTTTTTGCTCCTCAGGAAATTCTGGGCTGGAATTTTTTTGGACCGAGGTGTGGACCCCCCCCTCCCCCCGGAAAAAAATTCCCGGATCTGTGCCTGTAACTGAATGTAATGTCGACAACGGGAGATAACTCTTCAGAATTGTGGCATCCGATGATCCACTCTCTACCATCGGCTCATACATTCAGTGTTGGAGAGAGAAACGAACGACAACTCTGCATAGGAGATTGCTGATGATCTTTGATCCTTTTTAAACTTTAACCTAACCATTTGCATTTCGGTTTATTTTACCCCAATCTATACTTAAACTTGTACTTACCGACTGTCATAGGTCCTGTCAACTTCATGAAATATAATCCAATTAAAACAAAAATATGAATTAATTTCCACTGATATACATGTAACACTGCACCATGTCACATGGCATGTGCAATCTAAAAATGATAATGGTAAAACTAGTACTAGTACTGGTAGGGTGACGCAAGCCCAATGTGATGTAGAAATTTTCAAAAAGGTGTTCACATACATGTACAGTACAAGAACAAATTTTAAATTATCATAACAAACGATGTTTTAAAATAACTTTGCCACTTTTTTTTGGGGGGGGGGGGGTGACAAAATTGATTGGGTATGGCTTTTAAAGGAGGTTTTTGCCTGATCAAATACTAAAATAAGTTTGCACATTTTGATAAATTAATCAAAAACGCTTTGTACAAAAATAATATTATTTGTTGTTGAGAAAATAAATTTAAAAAGTTCCAATTATGGGCCAAAAATTTATACCCCCCCCCCCCTTTTTATCAAAACCTAATTTACATTATTAATTAAATTCTGTTATTTCAGACTGGTAATGAATTAAGTATATGAAATGCGTATAAGAGGTTCATGGGTCACATGGTCACCTGAGCATTTTATGCTCGATTTGACGAATACATGTACTGTGTAAATTATAGAATTATTTGGACTTTTTCCTTGGTAAGCCCAATATGAAGGAGTGTGCATTTAGAGGCAAACACCTTAGTGCGGGTATTACTGTCTCATGACAGCATCTAGTTATTGTTAGGGTTCGAACCCCTGATAATAATTCATAAATTTCAATAATAAGAACTTTTAAAATTCTAATACTAAATTCACAAATTGAATACGATTTTTATATATCTGAAGCTATAGGCATTCTGCGCGCCTTGTTTGCCCATCTTCTTCATTTTCTGGATTTCTTTTTTGGAAAGAAAACATGATGTCACTTTGAACTAGAGAACAATCCATCAAGAATGATTGTTGATAACTGAATTACGATTACAAACTCCCATGAACTTTGCCCGTGTTATATATGTTATATATTTATATGCATTAGTAAAGAGCGTATGCAACAATGTGACATTTCAACTGAAATATTATTTCTACCACCAATAACCGTCACGGTAGCTCTGTTGGTAGAGCGCTCGCTCCGTGATCGGAAGGTCATGTGTTCGAATCACGGCCGCGACTGACCTAAGTCGATAAAAATAGGTAGCAACTGTTCCTTCGCCAAGCGCTCGGCACAATGGTGTGAAAGTTGGGGGTCTTTCGGATGGGACCTTAAAATCCGAGGCCCCGTGTCACGTTAGGCGTTGGCACGATAAAGAACCCTCACTGCTCAATGACCCTGAGTGCCTAGTAAAGGTCTAAATTTGAAGCCCTTCACCGGTATATGATGACGTCTCTATATGAGTGAAAAATTCTCGAACGGGACGTAAAACAACATATTATCAATCAATCTACCACCTATAATCAACAACTACGTACCCACACATTCAAAAGAGCCACGTGCGCTTGTAGTTTTACCATCTGGGCACTTAGTACAATTCCATCTTAAGTTTTCACTTAATGTAACATTTTCACTTGATGTGTTTTTAAAAGATCCGATCTCGCAACGTACACATGTTCCATTGTCAGCCAAGTAGCGTCCTTCTTCGCAATGCTCTGAAATAACAGCAAAGAACAGCGGACTCATCTGACATTCGCAAAAATATACACCCATGTGCGATTTTGTAAAATAAAATTTATATACATTTAACAAAACTAGTATTTGGATGAACGATTTGCATCTTTACTCACTTTAGAAATATTGAAATACTAGTACATGTATTTAATGCCCAAAAAGTTATAAATTTGAACAGGAAAACGTCTTGCATTCAAATCTAGTATGCTAATTTTCCAAAATTAGAGATAAACGTGATTGTGTAGCATGACTGATGCAATGACCTACTTCTGTCTTCAAATTGCGACTTCTTTACATTAACCTATGTATACTTTATGTGACCTTTCCTCAGTGTAGAACCACTGTTTGAGCTCAAACAATGAATGAAATTTGACTTTTTGTGAGGTTGTCCATTCGACTAGAATTTTTTGGGGTACATTACACAAAACAACTATGCATTCAAAACGAGCTAAAACACAGGGCATATTAACCATTTTTACATGATTTAGAAAGATATAACAAAATGGTGCGTAGTGTGGATTTATTTTAGAGTTACAGTGCAAACAATATTCCTTGTTGGGTAACTGAGAGACATTCATAAAAAAAAACTTTTCAAACCAGCATTACTCAATTTTGTTTTGTTTTGTTTTGTTTTTTTTTTTGACGATATTTCAAAGGATTAGCTATAGTTAGGGAATTCCCTTTCTATTTTCCGTAAATGTGGTACGAAAATAAATGAAAAAACAAAACTGATAAGCAATTCTTGAACATGAAAAGAACAAAAATTAAACATTTATTTACATCATAGTTAACTACACGTCCAAAAGTTGCATTTTGCGATGACAACGACTGTATACCTTACCTATACATGTGTTATTAACAGTGCCGGAACTGTATGTGGTTTTCCCTCCCTCGCACGGGGTGCAATTCCACCTCAGTTCTGAAGAAAGTGTGAGGTTTTCACTTGAAGTGTTCTTGTATTCACCAACTGGACAAGGCAAGCATACACTTCCATTCCAGAACCTGCCTTCTGAACAATGTTCTAAAAACGTATCATTTAAAGGATTCTAAATTATCTTTCTTCATAAGCAATTTAAAATTGATAATAAATTATTTCGCAAATCATGATGATATACGTTTCACAGTTTTTGCATTTATTAATTTATTACATTTGAATACATGTACAACGTATGAAATTTTGTATACCCACCACATCTGATTTTACCGAAAAGTGTAAAAAAAAAAAAAAAAAAAAAAAAAAAAAAAAAAAAAAAAAAAAACCATTTAATGTTATATCTTATTATTATTTTGTTATATTACATATGCAATTGATTGACATAACAACTCTGCGGAGTATCCTTGGACCTGCAATATCTGCTTAATATGTATGAACAGTCGGCAATTCTCGGATGACTCCGCTTTTTACGTAAAAAAAAAAACACATTCTAGTGACAGATATTCATTGAAATAAACCGGCGTTAAAAGTTTGCAGTGTAGTTTATTTGGGAAAAACTTTGAAATGTAAATATTATTGAATGCCTTTAATCCTAAACAGCAACATTAATAACATTTTTTGTGGAATGAAACTCATTTCAAACAGTCACTATTTTTCTTGCTACCGTGGCTTCTTTATCTTTATTTAAAAGAAAAGATTTAATTCATTCAATAGATATATGAAAGAAGCACGAAAGTTTTATCTTTTTCTAACATTATAAATAATACAATTTAAACGAGAATGCATAAAAAATTGACACATCTTGTAAATCAAGAGTAATAAATTGTACCGATACAGTCTTCCTCATTTACAGTTCCCCTGCTTAAGGTGGTCAAATATCCCCGACAAGCTGTGCAGTTCCAACGTTCCTCGATAGAAGCTGTGGTGTTGACACTTGATATGTTTTTGTAGAAGCCTATTTCACACTGAGCGCAAGAATTACCGTGCTGCAGCTCAAAGCCTGCCTCACATATATCTAAAATTTATATTAGTGGGTAATCAAATGATTCGTTTTTTTCTCAGTGTTTTATAATTAAGTTTCAATCTTGTGTCAAATGAATTTTTTTTTTTGCTTGTTTCTTTTTTCATTTGGTATAATTTTTCAATAACTTCCTTTTGAAAAAGTGGTAATATTTAGTTATTCTCTATATTTAATATTGATTTCTTTTACTGAAAATTTGCATTTGTAATGCCTCAAGTTTGTTCGTCATCATAAAAAAATAAATGTACATGTATATCTTTAAATACTGCAAAACTTTAATAAAAAAAGAAATTAAGTTTGTTTGTACAGTTAAATTCTCACCATATTACAGCTTCATATATTTTTTTTTTTAAAAAAATCATGCATTCACGAGAAAATGTATAATTACCGATGCATTCTGTAAAATTGACAGTGCGTTCAGTATATGTTGTTTTATTCACTGGACATGGAATGCAGAAGAATCTATCAGTGACATTCAAACTTGTGTCATTTGGTGACGTGTTTTTATAGGACCCAACTGGACACGGTTCACATTCCTTTGTTTCATTGTGCAACGTATAGTTCTTCAGCTGCGTTCCTTCAGTGCAAACAGCTGTAAAAAAAAAAAAATTACAAAATGCACACAAACTACAAGACTCACGTGATTTATCTTGGTCTTGTTGACAATGTACTCTACATAATTATCCTTGACTCAGAAATAAATATTTATTTTAAAAAATCAAATTCATTTTAACAGTTAGAGTTAATGATATTTATTTCAAAAAAGGAAGGATTTATTGATACTTTAGGCATTTTGTCTTAATTGACAATTAAGAAGTAATTGATATACAGAGAAATAAATATACTGAAAATCACTTACATGTATTTTCGAAGAATCAAATTTCCTTATGTGAGCGGAAAATATTGATTCGTGGAAATTTGATTTCGTGGTTCGACAAGAAACACGATTTACTTTCGGAAATTATTATACTTTTCGTGTATGACATGAATACATGTAAGTGGGTCTACTTATACCACGGAAACAACAAAAATTAAACCCAATTAAAATATTCATTAGTATGTGATTTCACAGTTTATGCTAAGACAGAATTATAATTATTCAACTCTGTATTATCATTTAAAAGGGAGATGTCTTCACATATTTGAGTTGAAAAACTTACGGATACAGTCATTTTGTGAACTGCTTTGTTGATGATATGTCGTGTAATTCTCTCCACAAGACTGACATGTGAGGTTCCATGACCTGCTTTCACGGTATAACCCAAAATCACATGCTTCACAAGAAAAGAACAAGTTCATACCTTCACCCTCAGAACATCCTAAAAAAGATTATACAACTATATTAGAGTTTAAAATACGTTCTTCATTGATTATTTAGGGACAGGTGCGAAGCTACATTCGGATGCGATGATGAGGAGATAAGGAAGGGCTTTGGGGGGGGGGGGTCATCTTCACCCCCCTCCCCTTCAAATGTGTTCCAAAAGTTACCCGTCTTAAAAATTCAAATGTTACATTGTGTATTAATTGTCCATAAATTATATATGATAAACTTGTTAGTATAAAGTAATACGAAATACACAAATGTTCTCTTTTTTATTTTTATACCCGCACTTTCTAAAGAAAGTTTGGGTATATTGTTGTTACTCTTGTCTGTCCGTCCGTCCGTCTGTCACACTCTTATTTCTCAAATTCCTCTTACATTTTACACAGTAGCCTAATCATCTTTTGGGAGATGTTTGGTGGTGTCATGTAGATGTGCAGTAAAGTTTCGGAATTTTCATGTTCACCCTGGGGGTCAAATGGGGGTCGAAGAATGACGTTTTTTTATGCAAAAAGCCCCTGGTTCCCTGAACTCCTCTTACATTTTACACAGTAGCCTAATCATCTTTTGGGAGATGGTTAGTGGTGTCCTGTAGATGTGCAGTAAGGTTTCGGAATTTTCATTTTCACCCTGGGGGTCAAATGGGGGTTGAAAAATGACGTTTTTTATGCAAAAAGCCCCTGGTTCCCTGAACTCCTCTTACATTTTACACAGTAGCCTAATCAACTTTTGGGAGATTGTTAGTGGTGTCCTGTAGATGTGCAGTAAGGTTTCGGAATTTTCATTTTCACCCTGGGGGTCAAATGGGGGTTGAAAAATGACGTTTTTTATGAAAAAAGCCCCTGGTTTCCTGAACTCCTCTTACATTTTACACAGTAGCCTAATCATCTTTTGGGAGATGTTTGGTGGTGTCATGTAGATGTGCAGTAAGGTTTCGGAATTTTCATTTTCACCCTGGGGGTCAAAAAATGACGTTTTTTATGCAAAAAGCCCCTGGTTCCCTGAACTCCTCTTACATTTTACACAGTAGCCTAATCATCTTTTGGGGGATGGTCAGTGGTGTCCTGTAGATGTGCAGTAAGGTTTCAGAATTTTCATTTTCACCCTAAGGGTCAAATGGGGGTCGAAAAATGACGTTTTTTAAGCAAAAAGACCCTGGTTCCCTGAACTCCTCTTATATTTTACACAGCAGCCTAATCATCTTTTGGGAGATGGTTTGTGGTGTCATGTAGATGTTCAGTAAGGTTTCAGAATTTTCATTTTCACCCTGGGGGTCAAATGGGGGTCGAAAAATGGCGTTTTTTATGCAAAAAGCCCCTGGTTCCCTGAACTCCTCTTACATTTTACACAGTAGCCTATTCGTCTTTTGGGAGATGGTTGGTGGTGTCATGTTGATGTGCAGTAAGGTTTCGGAATTTTCATTTTCACCCTGGGGGTCAAATGGGGGTCGAAAAATGACGTTTTTTATGCAAAAAGCCCCTGGTTCCCTAAACTCCTCTTACATTTTACACAGTGGCCTAATCGTCTTTTGGGAGATGGTTGGTGGTGTCATGTAGATGTGCAGTAAGGTTTCAGAATTTTCATTTTCATGATGGGGTCAAATAGGGATCGAAAAATAATGTTCCCAGAACTCCTCTTACATTTTACACAGTAGCCTAATCATCTTTTGGGAGATTGTTGATGGTGTCCTATAGATGTGCAGTAAGGTTTCGGAATTCTTATTTTCCCCCTGGGGGTCAAATGGGGGTCAATTTTTTTTAAAAAAATATTTAACATGCTTAAACATCTTGGTTCCCAGAACTTCCCTTATATTTTATGCACTAGCCTTAAATCATAATCATTTGGAAGATGATTGATTTTGTCCTGTGGATGTGTAAAATGGTTTTAAAATTTGCATTTCCATGTGGATAGCAAATAGGGACAGGAAAAAAAATGGCCCCTCCCTAACCCATGGGTCATGATTTGTACAAACTTGAATCTACACTTCTTGGGAATGTTTCCATATTAATCATGCTTATGTTGTTCTTAAAAAGAAGAATTTTGAAGATTTTTTTTTCCTTTTAAATCTCTATAAAACTTTGATCCCTTATTGTGGCCTGACCCTATCCTCGGAGGTCATGATTTGAAAACTAGAAATATGTCCATAGGACATAAATGCCCCGTCAAATGTATATTACTAATGCAACATGAAAATTTGTATGAGTGTATGAAGTTTGATGAGAATATCTTGAACAGTTTCTTTAAAATTGAAACTAAAATCTAAAAAAAATGGATATAGATGATAAATTCTCACAAAATTATGTATAGGTGCATGCTTACATAAAAATATCTTAGATTGTTTCTTTAAAACTAAGCAAAATACAAATTAAAGAGAAGGGAGGTCAAGGTCACAGGAAAAAGCAAGGTGAAAAGTTTTTGATGCAGTTGAATAGCTCTCACTAATACATATCAGCATATTAGATTTGATAAAAATATCTTGAATGATTTATTTAAAACTGAGCTTAACACTTATTTGAGAAAAGAGAGGTCAAGGTCAAAGGAAAGGTTGAGGTCAAAATGCTGATGCAGTTGAAAAGCTTATATCAGTATGTATTTACTATTAGCATAGAAGTTCAATAAAAATATCAGAAATGGTTTATTTAAAATGTAGATTTACACTAATTTAAAAAAAGTGAGGTCAAGGTCAAAGGAAAAGTCAAGGTCAAAAAAGTTGATGCAATTGATATCTCTCAGCAGTATATATCAGCATATGAAGTTTGATAAATATATCTTGAATTGTTTATTCAAAACTGATCTAGACACTAATTTAAGAAAAGTAAGGTCAAGGTCAAAGGAAAAGTCAAGGTCAAAAATTTTGATGCAGTTGAAAAGCTTACATCAGTATGTATCAGCAAATGACGTTTTATTGAAGTCGGACATGACAAACACTATATGCCTCGGCCATATTCATGGCAGGGCATAAACACTATATGAGGATGTTTCCATATCAAAATGACTAACAAGCAAATTCAAAGAATTGAGGTCCCCTGCTTTCCGTGTCCTAGTGGATGGGATGCCATTATTTATGACATATTGTTTCAAATATGCAGGCCTTATCATATGTCATTCAAAAGTAATCACCAAAGTTAAAATTTTTGAAAATTAGGTAAAACATCAAGGTCAAGGGGTAAAAAAATCATAGCATGCTTGTAAACATCTTGTCACAGGTAATGTACATGTCAAATATAAAAGTCCTATCTCTTCTCAGTCAAAAGTTATAAGGAAATATAACATTTTTGAAAAGTAGGTTAAACTTCAAGGTCAATGTCATAGAGTCAAAAGTCATGATATATTTAGAAAGGTCTTGTCACAGGTAATATACATGTATAATATGAACGCCCTATCTTTTTCTCTTTCAAAATGATCATTTAAAATAATGTTAAATTTTTTGAAAAGTAGGTCAAACTTCAAGGTCAAGGTCATGGGTTCAAAAATCATGGTATGTTTAGAAAGTTCTTGTAGGTAATGTACATGTGAAATATGAAAGCGCTATCTCTTATTATTCAGAAATTATGACCAAGGTTAAATTTATTGTGACAGATGGACAGACAGACAAACGGACAGACTGACAGACAAATGAGATTTAATGTCCCCTAGGTCCCTTTTGCGAAAACGGACGACAATAATGCCCTTGCTGTTCATGAGAAGAAGATTTATGATGGAAAAAATCCCCTGCATTTTTCTATGTAAAACATTGGATCCCCATATGTGGCCCCACCCTACCCCAGTGGGTCATAATTTTAACAAATTTGAAGCTACACTAAGTCTATGTAAAGAAAGTTTCAACTTTTTGGGCCCAGTCAGTGGTTCTTGATAAGACTTTTTTAAAATGTTACCACCAAATTTTCACTAATTCTTGATTATCCCCTCTTGAAAGAGGGTGTGACCCTTCACTTGAACAAAATTGAATCCCCTTTACCCGAAGATGCTTTGTGGCAGGGTTGGTTGAAATTGGCCCAGCGGTTCTAGTGAGGAAGACAAAAATGTGAAAAGTTTACAGGCGGACAGATGGATGACAAACAAAATGTGATCAGAAAACCAGAAAAACTCAAGTGAGCTAAAAACTGATGATCACAAGTACTGGGAAAGAGTTACAGTATTTGAAAAGCAGTTTTTTTTCATGCATTGTTTTCAGAAGCTGAAAAGGTATGACTTGTATCCATGTTGAAAAAACTTCACATTTCAGAAAACAGTATGATTAAAAATAGTTAATCAAGGTGCTTTGAGTAGCAAAATAAGCTAAACTGGTATAGCTAATTCAACCACAGAGCTTAGTGAATTTTAAAAAATGCACAACCTTTTCAACTCTTAATCATTCTTAAAATATTTATATCATTATTTCTGATTCAAGGGAGAACTAGAGATATGATCAGAAGTATATCTGTTGACTAATAAACATGTACATGTATATTGTGTTTTTTAAGTCATTAATGTTCACACTGCTCAACGCGTTATCGGCAATTCGGTTGTTATCGGGCATTCGGTGCAAGAAAAGCAATGTTTACAAAACGTAGGGGATTTTAAATTTCTTAATTCAACGATAATTGCGTACTTCAGCAAACAAAGTTTGTGATCTTTGGCAGATATATGATTATACTTTCAGCAGCAAAAAATACAAGCCAATTCACTCTCTTTCAAAAGATCTACAACTCTTTCAAATGATATTTTATAAAAAATTTCGGAATATGTCATCACATTTTAGCTTTTATAGAAGTCAATTTCATTTTTTTGTATTAAACAAAATAGTTTATATATTCTATAGACAATCATATACCTACAGATAAGCAGACTGAAATCAAAAATCCAAATTAAGGGTTAGTTAACAGGCATCTAAAATGTCTCGGTAGGTGAAAACATGTTATCGTCAACAAGGTTGATGTTGCCGGATAATTCGGTTTTTACAGGTGTAAGTTATCGGAAACTCAGGTTAAAAAGTTTCCTTCAGCTTTAGAAATAGAT